GAGGGAGGGAGGGGGGGGCGGTAAACTCACTTGAGCATGAAGTGTGATCGGCCACCGAGATGGATCCGTCGATACCGGTCCCACACGGGTTTCAAGCAATTCCAGATAGGTTTTGGCTATGAGATGTTTCATGACTGAGAGATCTTTGGAATACTGTTGAGCGATCGCTATGGCGAAAGGCAAAACGAAATCCCCAAAAATGCACAATCGAGTGAATACAATACGACTAACATTAGATACAAAATACAGGTAATGTGTTCTGCAGCATTGTAGCATTTGGTTATCCTTGGCTTGCGATCAACTACCAGAGGTGTGGGTCTCACAGTAAACGACTTCAGACCAGTTCCCAGAGGCTACTTTCATACCGTATACCATTGTGCATGTGTTGAATACGGATGCATCTATTCCGTTTCGGCCTGTACGCCGTTGATCACCTATCTGAAAAACGGTGTGAACTACACTACACTTGTCTGCATGAGAAGCATTTGCACAGAATGTCCTCTCTGACCCCCAATCATCCTTTACATGGAGATCTGTCCACATGCCGCTCTCCTTCATCTACGTGTTCCACATATCGTTTATTATCCTTTCGTATTAACCACTGCAGAAATTCCACAGCTCCCCATCTCGCTAGAATCCTTGTAAACCGACGGTGAGTTTCATCTGAATTCCTTCACAATCTTAGAGGCTAAATTCTTTAGTCTTATTAGTTATTATCATTATTTTTGACTGAAAAGTCTGTGCACATACAAACACAAATACCTAGCATTAACCAGGATAAACCTATATAAATCAAATAGACCATTAGCAACTGTTCTCAGTTGGAACATAAATAACTACGGGAGACCATATTGGCCTCATCAGGAACGAAAACAATCGGTCCACGAAACCTATTCTGTGATAGGATTCAGAAACCGAACAGAAAATGGCTGAGACCCGAAAAACTTACTGACACAATTGGACAGTTCGCGTTGTACGGACTGGGTCAAAGCCGTCGTCCGTTTCGGAGGCTCGAGCAGACAGCGTTCCTGTTGTGTGTGGATTGGAATGACTCCAGTTGGAGTGAAATGTGCCGAGCGTTTGACCAAAAGCAGAAGGAGCACGCCATCTTCAATGATATACGGGAAACAAGAAGGGATGTCGGGCGAAATGTACTATGAAACATAGGTCTCGGGAAATTTCTTCCTCCTTGATCCATGTGAATAAAACAAGTAACACAATGTGATCAGGACTGACATCATGTGTTCTCAATCATTTACATAATACGTAACTCTTTTTGACCCAGTTAACTGACCAATTTTCCACTCCGTTACGCTTCTGATTTCGTACTAATCCACTTCTGGTTGTATTCCTTTGGTATTACACACACATTTTTAACTCTCTTTCCTACACGGTTAATCGTTTTTCGTTATGTCACTGCTTCTGTGCTAGCATTCCCTTCTTCAGAATCACTGCAATCATTATTCCCCTCTTCCTCGTTCACCCATCTCCAAATGATTTGGTAGTGACTCAACAACCCATTTCCTTCCGTTTGAACCCATGTAATTACGTGAGTGCCCATGGTATTGTATTCCTCTTATAACATTCCGACCTATTTACCGTGCGTAGACAGCTGAATGAGAGCACGCGAAATTGATGGCCAACATCAATTCTGCTCATATTGTGTTACTTATTTTTATTCAAATATCGATTCCCAGGATTCATTTTGAGAAAAGAGAGCGAACGGAAAGGAATACGCCCCGCGTCTGTGTTCAACGGTGGAGTCAGAGAACTCTCTTTCTCAAACTGCTTTTTCTTCTCCGAAATTCAGTTGGAAAACGAATATGTATCAGGATGTAAAACAGTTAGAGGAAATAAATTTATGAAAATCATGCAACGACCTCATCTATTTAGGCGTTTATTCGCTGACTCACCCCTGGTCATCAAAGACAACGCACCCATTTCGCGATCGTATCGACCAAACACGCCAGTCACCACTGGATCCGGATCTGTCGGGTTCCAGTTAGTGAGTGACGGTGGAGGTGTGGCGTCATCCTTTATAACGGCACCCTTTTCCCCCGGTCTGGGAAGTCGAGGCCATGTAAGAATCTCATCACAGACATGTTGATCTTTGTACAACCGCAGTGTGCCGTCAGTCAACGACAGAACATAACCAAACAGGTTTTGCGAGACCAGCGTAACAGGGATCAGGCTAGCGATTGGTGCCGGATGGCGTACAGTCCACATTGGATGACCCTAAAACGCACGGGAATGTATAAGTAGAATAAGTCAGAACACAGGTACACAGGATGATAAGGGCGGAGGGGGGGATTCTGTGAAAGTTATACACAGTCCCAGGATAACCTACTTTCAACGAGTATCCTTTGACTGTCTGATCCACGCAACCGACAACGATAGTTTTGTCTGCTCGAACCAGACCCACAATCTGAGAGTTCGGATTGAATAGACGTTGAACAGAATCCGAGCCGCTGAGAAAGAAAAACAGGATCGGACGAAAAACGAAGACAGAAGTGAAACTGTGTGAAAGTCTGTGGCATGAATGCACCCAAAATTAAAACAAACATATATATCATAATTAGTATACGAATGACTCGAAAAAATTTGCTCAGAAGCAAAAGGCCGTTTCCGCGGTTCTTACCATTCGCCACGTATGGGTATTCGGTAATATTTTGTTGACCTCATCAACGCTTATCTACCAATTCAAGTGTAACTGTGGTGTCACTTAAGTAAGTTGTACGACAAGATGGCTATCCAAACACATCAAGGAACATCAACCCATGTGACTTAGACACGGAAAAATCGGAGTTATTTCCGGTTCGGTCGTTACACACTTGATCGAAACTGGACATAGGCGGGAACCACCGAACTAACGCGCGTAGCCCAAACGAAACACTTAGGGACAGTAGTCTCCGAAAATTACAAACCAGGTGAACAGTACAAAACCGCAGCACAAAGGGCGAGAGATCAACTATTTCGGCTGATAAATACACTGACCACTCGAAAGGCAGAAGTCTTTATCCCACCGGCACTAGTGAGATCCCACCTAGAATACTGTGTCCAGGCCTGGGCACCCTACCTTCAGAAAATCATCCAGTGCATCGAGAAGGTGCAAAGGTTAGCCACTCGGATGGTCTCGGGCATGAAGGGTAAGTCATATGAAGAAAGGTTTGAAGCATTAGACCTTTTTTTCTATAGACAGAAGACGCCTTAGGGGTGACCCCAAAGAAACATTTAAGACAATGAAAGGACTCACTGCGGTAAGCGCCGAATGTTTGTTCACTCGAACGCCCGTAGAGGTCACCAGGGCACACATTCTAAAGCTCCTAAAACCAAGGGCCCGCCTCGGTATGCGGTTTAACTTTACACGAACCGAGTGGTTGATAGATGGAATTAGCTACCATCGCACCTGATGGAATGTGCAACTACAATCGACTTCAAGAGGCAGTTAGACATGATTCGGATCCAACTATACCCAGAGGTAGTGAAGGGTTGACATGCTTTTTGTTTCCCAACTAATCTCCCTTACAGATATCGTACTGGAACCGGTTTCCTGCCGGAAAACAGTTGCAAGACAGCGACTGAAACAAGTTTGAAGCTTTGAGAGAAGAATCCTTCCTACCGAAGCAAGAATCCGGAGGATTAGTTGGCGAAAGCTTTTTCCGTCCTGTGATACCTGGCCTGACCTGAAGTCTTCAAGAGCATGCTATTATTTATTTATATTTATATTTCACACACGTCCAATGCCACACTGTGTGCCAAACAAATCGTGGTACAATAATCTTTATAAAAAGAAAAACGTTCCATGATTTGCAAGTGGATCGAATACTGCCAGGTTGCCCAGGCCAAGGCAGGTAAATTTTCTTGGGGAATCCACAACCGGAGTCTTGGGCTATCCAAAATCCTGGCCGGCAAGGCGGCGGGGAGGTGTGCGAAATCCGCAATCCATTGGGAGCCGGTGTCCAGTTCATCGGATCATACGCCCTTTGGACGGAGTCAAACCAACGCGATTATAGCCACGGATATCGGCTTTTCGTCCTCCCACTTTCATGCAAAAACACCTCCGCCACGAGAAGGCATTGCGTAGGACTCCGTCAGTAGAGGCTACTTGAGGGAAGGGTGATCAGCCGCAACCCTAGACACCCACCCCCGATCATACTGAGGCTTTCGGAGACAGCGGGCTATTGGTACCAGCTCAGCACGGATTTATTGAAGAGATCTTGTATCACAAACCTGCTGGTGTTTCTAGACGAGGTCACGCGTAGAATTGATGAGGGCCTACCGGTGGAGGTATGCTATCTGGACTTCCAGAAAGCATTTCACTCGGTTAGCCACCATTTGTTAGATCATAAGATGCAATTATTGGGAATAGTTGGGCATTTATCGCGTCCCACAACACAAATCCAAGGTTGTTTGAATAAAAAGACGCTAGCAACAGCCGAGGCAATCACCATCCGCTTGTTGAAGCCAGGATTGTGTTCGAAAAACACTTCTTCAGGCACTTAAACTCCCCTGGCCCAAAGCGGACAACATCAAGCATGAGTGTTCTGATGACCCAAATCAACGCCTAAGTAACCTTTTCTTATACTAACAAGAAAAAGGGGGAAAAACGTGTCCTTACCCCACCTCTTTGCTACAATTATTTGACCTCGACCGTCTGACACCAACACAAAACCGTCCAGTTATTTTCTAACATAAATGTG